AACACAGGCTTATAAATATTGCTTTATACAATTGTCTTTTCAATCCAGAAAGAAAGATTTGTCTTGTTCTTATTATTTTCATATTCTGTTATCTGTACTAATACTTTGTTTCTTCATATGTATTTGATCACTATTGTAACTTCAATCTGATGTTCCCACAGTCTAAAAGAGTTCAGTTTATCTCTTAGGTCAGCTAGTGATTGATTCTTTCAATTTTTCTTTATTTGGGGCTGTCCTGTTTTACAGGATAGTTTTGTTGGGCATAGAATTCTTGGATGATCATCATATTCTTTCAGCTATTTAAATATGTCATTCTGTGTCTGTGATGTCAATGGTTTCTGATTCTGATGAATAACCAGCTATTGATACTTTTCTGTTTTTGTCTTTTGGCAGTGCCGGGGATCAAACCAGAGCCTCTTGTGTGGTAGGCCAGTGCACTACCACTGACCTACATCCTTAGCTCAGCTTTGATCTTTTTGAGGATTCCTCGTAATTGATATGTTGATTCTTTTGTTCCTTTTGAGGTTCTCTTTTTGTCTTTGTTCATATTTTTGTAATGACGTGTGTACATAGGAATTTCTTTGAGTTTAGCCTGTGTAGAGTTTAATAAGATTTTTGAATGTACAGATTATTGTTTTTCATCAAATTTGGCAAGTTTTTTTGCCATTATCTCTTCAAATGCTTTTTCTACCCCTTTCGTTTTCTTCTCTCTTAGAAGATCTACCATTTGTATACGTTGGTGTGCTTGATAACGATCCCATAGGTCTCTGAGAGTGTGTTCATCTTTCTATATTCTTCTCTTCTCTTTCTCAAACTGGCTAATCTCAACTGTCTTATCCTCACATGCCTTTGTTCTTTCTTCTGCCTTCTCAAATACACTGTTGATCTTCTCTAGTGAAATTATCCTTTCAGTTATTGCAATTTTCAACTAAAAAATTTGTTTGTGTGCATATGATTTCTATCTCTTTACTGATAGCCCTTATTTGGGGCAACATCAGCCTCATAGTTTCCTTTCGTTCTTTATATGTGATTTCCTTTAGTTGTTTGAATATGAGAGTTGTAGAATAATACATAATTTTTTATTTAGATACAGCAAAACATGCAAAAAATATACAAACAAAACTATTGATACTTTTCTGTTTTTCCCTCTCCTTCTTGTTGCAATCAAATTTCTTGACAACTCTCTCCACCATTATCTGTGCTAATTTTGATCTCATCATATCATTTATTTCCAAATATTTATTGAGCACTTTCTTTGAGACACTGTTCTAAATCTAGGCATACAACTGTGAACAAGACTTAATCCCTGTCCTTGTGGGTTTATATTCTAGAAAGGGGAGACAAGAAGAAACTATTTATATGCTCTCAAAGAGAGATAAATTCAGTTAGAACATAAAGCAGGATAGATAATGACTAATATAGCAGTTGCTATGTATTGTTAACAGGTGGCTTTTTTGAAGAAGTTGTATTGTAGTAGAGACCTTAGTGTCAATGAATTAGCTCAGGGAAAGTCATGGGGCAGATCTTCGAGGCAGAAAGAATAGCAAGTATAAATGCTTCAAGGTGGGTACAAATTTTATGCAATTAAAGCCCAGTAAGAAGGTCAATATGATTAGAGAATAATAATGAGAGAGAACCTTGGGCAGGACTGGAGGCAGAGCAATAGATAGAAGCAAGATTGTGTAGGCCTCAGGTCATGCTAAGGAGTAGGATTTTTGTCTCAATTTATCAGGAAGGCATTAGAAAGTTTTAAGTAGGGAGTGATGAGATATGCCTTCTTGGTCAGTCAAAATAAAATCCATTTAGAAACATCCAAATAGAGAATTTCAAGTGTATACATGTGTTTGGATTACCACCATGGTAAAAAAATTTGTTTACATAGCCCCCCAAAACAAAGACATGTTCCAAAGAAAGAAGCAGCTTTTTATATTTTCATGTAGCAGAAACTAAAAGAGTTCATATTTAAAATTTTGCTTATGGCTCCTGATTTCAGTTTGGTTGATATTTATAATAACCGTGGTCATTTTAAGGCAAATGTTGAGATTAATGTGTCAGCAATGTTGCTTCTCATTCACTTACTATATATTTGTGTTTATTCTGTGTGTAAGGGACTACTTTATATTTTAGACCCTGTTTAGGATAAGTGTCGACCTTTTGGCCTACTTACTTGAAAATGATGGCCATAATGTATCAACAGAAATACTAGTTTTTTGGAAGTTGGCTTGTGTTTTTTGCTAATGTACTAGTCTTCTTCCCCTTGGTTCCCATGCTGGATACTGGCATGGAGTGAAATGACTGGTCAGGGATGGTGTGTGATCAGGGAGTACACAGAAGTGACAGATCGCAAAGAGCAAACCAGTGACTTTGGAATCCTGAGAAAAAAATTGAGACCCATAAAGCCCCAGAAAATGAGTTTAAATGCCTTGAATACAAAATCTCAGCTAATATTAAACTCTGTCAGTATGTGTCATGCTAATGTCGTAATACCACATTGTAGCAAGAATTTTTAAGCTATGAAAAGTTTACTTGTGGGTTGGGGATGTGGTTCAAGTGATAGAGCACCTCCCTAGCAAGCATGGGGCCCTGAGTTCAAATCCCAGTACTGCTCACCTCTTCCACCCTCCACCCCCACCAAAACACAAATTCACATGTGATTCTACAGTTATGTAATGTTGTTGGGAAGCTTTTAAATGTTTTCATTTTGAGGCGTTCAGTGCCTTGGGCTTCTTTAAGTTCTGCTATCAACTGACTCATGACTGTGGCTATCGTGTTCAACACAAAGAGATCTCATCAAGCTTATAGGAGCTGTTGATTATGAGTGGATCGCTCACATAATTTTTCTGCCTTTAACATTTGTCTATGAGCATGGAAAGGACAGGATGAATCTATACCTTCATCCAGCTGCAGAAAGATTTATCTATGTGGATGGCTAATGAAAGTGGGGGTCTAAATAAAACTAAAGGGATGTTTACAAAAACCAGTGAGCTACCTAAAAAATGGGATTCCTTTTTGGCTTAGTCAACTGATAATGGTGGTAAGGTAGTCTTTGACTTTTGGTTTAGCTTGTTGAAACAGTTACCCATTTAAGCTAAATTAAGCCCCATTTTATATCCTATGTAGAAATTTTCTTTGGACTTTTTACTGGAACATGTTCTGACTTTGCACCTCCGAGTTTTGAATTCTTCAGACTGTTCACTTGATAAGGGATTGGTCCAATAAGCTGCCCTAGTCAGTCTTCCAAATACTAACATGTAAAGTTGATCAGCTTGAGCTCACTTACCCTTTTGACTACTGCTTTGTCTGAAAGACCAGTGAGAATATAATTTTCACTTTTGTTGCATCTATCATAAAAATGCTATTTGGTTAAATAAGGATGATTCAACTAATTACCTGAGTGTTTTTGTTTTTTTTTTTCCCATGACCTTCCCAGTAGCACCCAGAATCAAAGCATAAAGTTACACCATGGTTTCCCAGCTTCTTCTTAGAACTGCAGACTATAAGTAAAGGTTACCTAAGAGTGGTCATTTTTCTCTATCTGCTTTAAGAAGGATAAACAGAAATCAATAGCTTTGTGTGTGCATATACAGTGTTTTTTACAAAGAAAAACAACTTTTTTCTCTGATGTTCAAGTTTAAGAAAATGTGACATATAAAAATATTCACATTTGTAAAATAGACTTGACTCTATTTAAAAAAAATGACATGCTTCCTCTTAATATTATACTAGGCATCCTAATAAGTAGAAGGGATAAATGGGGACTTTTAGCCTTTCATAGGAAAAATATTTCTCAAATATCCTAGATAATCTCTTTATATAATTGAAAGACTGTATACCTCAATTTGATTCTTAAAGAAAGGTTATTACATGTTGTTAAAGTAGTTCTCATAATATCATTACTGAGTGAAGTACTGGTTGTTTGTCTGAACTATATATTCCTGAAGCTCTTATAACACTTAACATAAGACTGAACATTTAGCAAGCATACCCAGTTGTATTTCCAAATGAATGTTATTTTTTAAAATTGTTATCTAGGAGATTTCAAGTGTTTTCGTGATGTGGCTGTTCCTACAAATGGTTTTGGGTTGCTTCTTTGAGCTGATTCAGAGTGACCATACCTATCAAATTAGATTAGATCCGTGGTAGTTTTCACCCTGCATTCCTCATCTGACAGATATTTGTTAAACACCTACTATTTGCCAATTGTGCTGCTTTCTAGATTGAGGAAAATGAAAAACAAACAAAAAACATGGCTCCTGCCTTCATTGTGTTCCCAATCTGGTGGTTATTCATTTTTGGAAACTGCAAAAATAATTTAATAAAAGCTGAATTTGGTAAAGATTAAGGGTGTTAATGAATACCATTTTAGTGAAAAATAAGTCTTGTCATAGATTTTTTTGGTTTAGCTCATAAAGTAGTTATCAAAGTAGTACTGAAGAGATTTTTTTTTCCAAAGAGAATTAAAAAAAGAAAAAAACCCAGATGGTATGAATGCTTGTGTTGGTACCTAATCTGAAGAGTAACATTCATTTAGTAAATGTTAACATTTTTTCTTTATTAGTCTTTATGTGTATTTTGAACCTCATATCCAAAAACTTTTGTTTGGTTAATGTAAATGTTTAGGATAGGTCCCTGTTTATATTTGAGAAAACTGGCACACAGGTATGACAAACAAGATTGTCATGTTGATTTTTGTAGCTTTGTGTTTGTATTTACATTTCCATAAAAGGCAGATTCTCAGCCAGCCCTTGACTAATTTCCTTCTATTTTTTTTTTAATGTATGTGTCTATATATTTGGGAATGAAATGAAAATATCTAGTTATACTTTATCTGGAAATATGATTCTATCATCAATAAATTAGACTAAAAGCAGTTGTATCCTAATAGCCAATATATGATGTAAGACTAGGAAAACCATTTTCTCACAATGAATGCACAGAAGAGCCCAGCACACTGTTCTAGTAGCTTCATTTGTATTAACATAGTATCTGTGTCTCTACAGGGGGATCTTTGGATGTATATAGGAAAATTCCAGAGCATGTCCTTGGAAGAATTGCAGTAGCAGTAAGTATATGGCTTAATTGTTAGGGAATTTGGATAATTTAATCCTTCTAATCAAGCCTGTTCTTATATCTTCAGGATATTTCCTTTTCTTCAGTCTCAGTTGGCTGTCAGGTCCTTCCTACATTCTTTTGCTTTTATCATTTTTCACTTTTCTTGTCTTTACAGGCCAACATCCTTACATGACATCCCTTTGGCTTAGCAGTACTGACCTGTTCATGTATCATGTGTTTGCAGGACCTTAATGCTCACCTTGACCAGCGGAATTTCTAACTTCTTCAAAAGAAAACTGTTTGTAGTTATAAACATATGATTAGATTTTAATATTCTAAATTATTAAGATAATCGAGGAAAAAATACTACTCTTAAATGTTTTTGCAGTCCTTTTGTGTTCTTGATTTTTCATTTTTGTATCAACTATATCTCAGAACTTACTCCTTTACGATTAAAAGCAGTTTCCATATTCATTAATAAAATTTACTATGTAAATTGCCAATTTTAAATTTGGAATAATGTAGACAAACAGTGTCTAAGAGAAATCACTGGGTGGTATAATAGTAAACAATTGCTAAACTAAAGGCATTCTAATAACTTACATGGTTTAATGCAGAACAAAGTGATTATATCATGCACTACTTAATTAAATGGCTTATTTTCACATTCATTATACATCAAACTAACAACTCAAATTCTTTAATCCAACATGGACACTTACTTAGTCTTAGTTCATTGTAATTCACAGCTTTCCTTTTTTCTTTCTAATTATTAGTGTGAACTCCTCAGGATGCTGAGAACTTTCTTTTCTGATGCTGTTGCTGCTAAGAAGCTTCTAATCTACATGTGTAGGAAGATTAGTGTAGTATGAAATTTGCGTACTTAAATCACTATTTTAGATGAAAATAAAAATGTTTCATTTCCTCTTTTAATCTCAATGGGAATAAGTGCTTTGTGGCTTTTGGCAGTTCTTGACTTTAAAGTTTAATAACATGTAATAAAAGGCAAAAACGGCAAAGATACCAATTGAAAAAGAAAAAAGTGTACAGGTTCTATATTCTCAATTATCTATTGAACTTAACAAAAATAGACATCTGCCTTCTTCAGTAAAGAAGCATGTTCTTTCTGAACTTCGTAAATCTTGCCTCCCTCTCACGTAGGGCATCCAGACAAGGCCACTGGTTTTCAATTCAACTAGCAAGGAAGACTGTAAAGTGAAAAGAGTCAGCGGGAAAGAAACAATCCAGCTTTAAATATAGGCTTGCCTATTGGGTAATTGAAAATACAACTAAAATTGTTTTTGTGAAAGACACTAAAATAAGTGTGAGTCCAAGTCATTGTTTACAGTTGCCATAATATATTTCTTTAAATTAGGGGTTGTTTTTGTTTCTTTATGTTTGTTCTAAAATGTATCAGTTTCCTCCAGCCTTTATGTCTCATCAGGTCATAGTAATGAGAACTGCTTACGGCTGGAGTAGAAGAAATGCTTTTCTTCTGACACTTTTTATAAACTCTGTAATGCTTCCAAAGTATAGTCTTCCTTCCTTTCTCCATCCCCTCTCCCTCCCTTCTTTTTTGTTTGTTTCCAAAGTGCAGTTTTTGGTGTGTGTAAAATTTGAATAGGCTACAAACTTGGATAATCCTCTGTTGTAGCTGAAAAAGATCAGATTGGCACAGTGCTAGTACCAGTCAAAATATGCTACAAATTAATGGGTTGTAGGTCATGGTTTGAAAAATACATGTTTGCACAGCTTGATTGAGTTCCTAGTGTATTTGATTACTTCTTCTATAGTGGTCCAAAGATGGCACCAGCGTCCCTTAAGTTCCCTCAGTGAGGTCAAGAAAGCACATGAATATATTCTGTTGCCAAGTCTAAAGCAACAGAATCAGAAGGTGGGAAATAGGTGAATATTGAATATTTCCTGTGTCAATTACTGTTGCGTGTTTATTTACAAGTATTATGTCATCTAGTCTTTACAGCAACCCTGGGTTATTGAGCATTTATTATACCATGCAAAGTGAGATTTAGAAAAGTTAACTCACCCAACATTATTGTCTAACTAACCAATGCTCATTTTAACAAGGGGCTATCTGAACCCAGACCCATTGCCTTTTCACTGTGCTTTCGTTAAGAATCTGAGAAAAAATAATGAGCAATAAAAGGGAGAACTGGGTTAAAAAGGAGGAAAAAAGAATGAGAAAATAAAGGAGTAAAGCATGCAGTTGCTTTGCTTTTGATCCTTTTTTTTGGAAGCAGGGGTGGATTCTCACCATGTTCTCTATGCTGGTCTTGAACTCCTGGGTTAATCCTCCCATATCAGCTTCTCGAGTAACTGGGTCTATAGGTGTGTGCCACCCTGTTCAGCTTTCAGATTCCTTTTGTCTTAAAGCCACATGTAGGCATCTCTTCCTCCCCCAAAATGAGCTTTATTTTTCAGCTTCTAACAATCTGGCATGGGGCTGGCAAAGTGGCTCAAGTGGTAGAGTGCCTGCCCAGCAAGTGTGAGGCCATGAGTTCAAACCCCATTGCTGCCCCTCAAAAAAGTGGAAAGTGGTGAATAACCCAGCATGTAAATCCATAGAGCCAAAGTTTATTGCAGGGTGGACCCCTGTTTGCCTGTATGAAATGTAATTTTCTCTTGTAGGATATATGGCAAAAGTATTTTTCCTTGAAGAAATCCATATACAGTATGTGAGTTCAGTCTCCAACCTGCTCTAGATTTTTATCTACTACTCATTGGAATCTGGTCTGCTGTAAAGAATAATACCTTTCTGCCTTTCCCTGCCACCTAACACATTATATTTTTCTTCTCATTTCTGAAGCAGTGACACTGTGCCGTATTTTGAGTGCTAATGTTGATTGAAGTTGTCCCTGAGAGGATGTGCACTTGACATGTCAAGGAGTGAGTGATTAACAGCAGATAGAAGTACTTTTAGTGTCAAGGCTTTGTCCAGTCCTTATTACGAAACGTTGCCTGAATACCAATAATATGCTAGATTTTCAATAGACAAGATTTCTAGCTTCCTCCTATGCCAATACCCTATGCTCTAAATGAAAATATAGTCTATTTTGACAGTTGGAAGAGTAATACGTTCTTTTTAAATCTCTTAACATTTATAATTTTAGCAAATATCATAAAATCAGTACTGTTTTTGTTTTACCTTTTTTCTACCTGATAATCTGAATACTTGGATTGTATGTTTTTTGATCATTCAATTTCTGTTGAACCAATTTTAGTGATGCATTATATGTAATGGGCAAATTTTATAGTGTGTGACTAAGCTTCTAAGTTAGGAAGTTTGGTGCTACTTCCTCAGAACTCAAAAGATTATTGCTTTCCTACTAAATAAAATGACCTCCTACTACTACTCAAAAATGTTTTCATTGTGCATGTTATTTTTCATAGCATTTATAGAAATATTTTTCTTATTTCTTTCTGTAATAAAATTGTCATTAATGTTTTTTATTTTTAAAATATTTAAAATTTTTGATTGACAGTTGTGTATATATTGGATACAGTGTGTCATTTCAACATGTAACTAATATTTTGATGTTTTGCTTTTTTATGTTTTACTGTTCAGAGCATGTGTTTTATTATAATGTCAGTTATTCCAAACTCTGGAATAAATTATTTGCTATAAAAATTCTGTTCTCTTAGATATGCATGAAATGAAATTGATCATATCATATTAGCAAATATTTCAGAGGTATATTCTGCTCTGTGAGAGCAATTAAAATGTTAGCTTAGCATTAATTGATAACAGATTTTTGTCTTAGAGATCTTTAGTATTCGGAAAGTGGCTTTGTCTGATTGCATTTCTTTTTTTTTTTTTAACTTTCTCATAGTCTTTCTTTTTTTATTTTGTAGTCTTTCTTGATCAACTAATGCTGCATATTTAGCCCCCAACCCTATCCATAACTTTTTTTCGCTTCATCACTTTTAAAATTCATAAGCTACTCAGTTCTCTGGTTTATATAGCCCAGACTCACCTAAAATTTTATGTTATGATGGATTCTTTCAAATTCTTGTAGTGAATTTTTAGTAATAGTGGTTTGTTCACTGTTTTTGGTATCTAATTACAAATAACTTTGAAATTTTAAGTTTGTGATTCATGTGCATACAAGGTCAGTGGTTGTGAATAAAGTGTGTATCATCTTTTACAACAATTTTTGTAGAAATACTTTGAAAGCTTTTTTTTTTTATTTTATGGTACTGGGGCTGAAATCCAGGGCCTCAGCATGCTGAGCAAGTGCTATACCTTGAGCCATATCCCCAGCCTATGGAAGCTTTTAATGGCAATTCTTGATTAAATTTTTCACTTAGAAGGTAGCACCTGTAATCTATGTAATTAGGGTCTTCAAAACAGGTTTTTTTTTTTTTTTTTCAGAATTTCATTTTACTAATTGTTCTTCACTCAGGCTATTAAAGAAAAAAATCCAAACCTAATTCATATGTTTGTATTTTTTCATTTCATTTCTTTGACCTACACTTTCAGTATTGTCTACATAGTATGCACTTTGCACCAGAGTGGCTTGTAAGGATCATCTGGATGTATTGTTTGGTTTCTCCTTTACCAAGGAATTTTAAAAGTTTGCTTGTCTTTTTTTTTTTGGCAGTTTGAACCCAGGGACTCTCTGTGCCACTCAAGCCATGAACCAAGCCCTTTAGCTTTGGTTATTTTCCAATAGTGTCTTGCACTTTTTGCCAGGGCTGGCCATCAAGGCAGTCCTCCTACCTTTGCCTCCAAGTAGCTGGGATTACAGATGTATCATGCTCAGCTTGTTCTTTGAGATAGGTCTTCCTAAGGTTTTTTCCTTACGGTGATCTTGAACCATGCTCCTGCTATCACTACCTCCAAAGTTGCTGAGATTATAGGCATGAGCCACCTCATCTTGCCTAAAAAAACCTTTTAAAAATTTTTTTATTTTGAGATTATTTTAAATTAATAGGAAAGTTGTGAAAATAATACAAAGAATTCCCCCAGATGCCTCATTGGTATCCCTAGTTAACAGTTTAACACATTTTGACTGAGATGTATTTTACCTTGGCCTAAATTTTCTTCTCTTTTCTTCATATCAGTTTAATGCACGACTCAAGGCCCAGCATCTTGGTAAAGCCTTCCTGACTACTGGATAGAAAAGTGGTTTCTATTTCACCCACTGCCTTACTTCATTAGTTAACTCTTTTTTTTTTGTGTGGTACTGGGGCTTGAATTCAGGACCTTAGGCTTGCTAGGCAGGCGCTTTATCACTCGAACCACTCCCCCAGCCCTTTTACTTTAGTTATTGTTCATACAGGGCTTTGCTTTATGCCCAGGCAGGCCTGGACTGTGATTCTCCTATTTATGCTTCTTGTGTGTCTGAGATGACAGACATGCATACTGCATCTAGCTTTTATTGGTTGAGATGGGGTTTTGCAAACTTTTTTACCCAGGCTGGCCCTGAACCACATTCCTCCTAATCTCTACCTCCCAAGTAGCTAAGGTTATGGACATGAGCCATCACTAGTTAACTTTTTAAAAAATTTCTTGGGCTAGGAATGTAGCTCAGTTGATAGAGCATGTGATTATTAGCATGTACAATGTCTAGCTCTGCAAAAAAAAAATCTTTTGTCATAAATATCATAACTTCAAAAACAGTTAAAGTAGAAAATTTAAAAAATGTCTTTGTCCCTTTTCCTGTCCCTCTCCTTACCTGCCCATGACACCATTTAGCATTTAGTATATGGCCTTCCAGTTCATTTGTGTACACAGGCAGTTATTTCTTTCACTTGGTATGCCTTATCTTCAGAACATGAGAAGCTCATGAGGAAGGAACCATGTGCCTTTTACATTTGGTGTCCCAACCTGGCATGGGAATGACAGATTGTTCAACAAATGTTCATTGCTTATTTTAAAGAAGGCATGGTTGATGTGTTTAATAGTGAAAGTTCCCAATGAAACCATAATTACACTGTTTTCTCTTTCATAAATTTAGGTTGTTAAAGGCCTTACCTATTTGTGGAGTTTAAAGATTTTACACAGAGGTATGTGCTGGGTTACAGGCTCTGAGTTTATTTGGGGTGAGGGTGAAGTGCTGCAGATAGCTTGATTTTTAAAGTGAATAACTGATCTGACATTTCAACCAGCTGATGATATACTTGATAGTCAAAAGATGGTTGCTTAGAAATGTTATTTGTGTTTTCTTGCTTCTTGTTTTCTGCTCTCCTTTAGATTATAAAGTTGGTATTGTATTTTTGCGAATGACATTTACCAATTATGTAAAAAGATACCTCATAGTATTTGAAAAAGACAGGATCTGTTTGTCTTAATTCTAGGTAGCACAGAACCTTCACTTCCTGTACAGTTACATCCTTCCTTGTGTTACTATTACTATTTCAGATACCATCATATACTGTTTTTTAAGAGATTTCTTCCCATACCTGGAAAGTGAAGATTTAAATAAGGAATCAGTTAAACCATCAGAAATACACCCCTGTCTAGAAACAGAACATGTGAGAGTGCAGAAGGAACCTCCTTTTGTTTTTTCAGTATTCCCAGTATGTCTGAGAAAAGAGACTATAACAAAGTAACTTCAGAATCTCATGCTACAACGGTGCCACTTAATTTTACACATCTGTTCATCCTAGCTTTATGTACATTTGGGGAATGCAACAGCATACAAATAGATGTGATTAAAGGAAATTTTTTTAAGGTATAAACTATGGGAGGGAGATAACAACTGATGCCTTCATCTGCAGCATCACGTATGCTATTGAGGGCGTCTTACGTGGGGGTTTTAACATTCTGATGATTCCAAACTTCGTAAACCCTCCTCTGTCTAAATTTTTAAGAGATTATCTAGATTTTGACAGTTAAAACATTCCATTCTCAAAAATATTTATGTTGATTAAATGGAATCATAGCCAAATATTTTTGTAAGGCCACTTTCTTTCTAGAGTGCAGGTGTAAAATGTAGGTGTGGGCAAATAAGCTGAGTTGTGTTGGTATAACTTTCCTTGAGTATAAACTACTGGGAACACACATGTGGGCAAAGGAAAAATGGAATCATTTTCACTACTAAGATTAAGGGAAAGTGCTATTTAACATGATCTGCCATATATTACTGCCTTATCTTCCCTCTACTTTCACCTCCCCATACCTACCAACCCAGAACAGTGGTCACTGCCTATCATTTTATTTATTTTTTTTTAAGGACACTTGCTATCCATTTGGTAAAGGAAGGCTTCAGTGCTCTATAGCAAAGCCTTTGTTAAAAGGACCATGATGCCATGGAAATGTGAGTGCTGTTATGGAAGTGAGTCTTAGGATTGTGCTACACTCTAGGCATATAGAATAGTTCTCACTAATAAGGAATTCTCTCTAGCCATAACTTTCTATGAGGGAACTTAGCACTAAAAATTCTAGTGGACATAGAAATATGGTTTAGTTAGTCTGAAATCATTTTGCCTTTTTCTTTTTAAAGTTGGAAATCATTTGACACATTGATATAGTGCTAGAATTCCTGTATCTACATTATTTGGTTTTAGTTTTATTCTGTGTTTGGGAGAAATAATCAAATTTTCACTTGAAATGGGATCTTGTTAGACATAGTTCAAATGGATTTGTCTGGATCTGAAAATAATGCCTGAGGTCAGAATCCCAGGACACCCACCCTGTGGTCATTATTAGCAAGCATGGTTGACAGAGCCTTTCAGAGGCTGATAGTCCTTCTTTCCACTCCTGGTTGGTACTTGAGCTAAGAAAGGACTCTTGCTAGGCAGGTGCTCTATCGCTTGAACTATGCCCCAACCCTTCTTTGCTTTAGTTATTTTTTTCATTTTTGCCAGGGCTGGCTTCAGACCACAATTCTCCTACCTGTGCCTCCTGCATAGCTGGGATTATAGACATGTACCATCATATCTGACTTATTTGATGAGGTAGGGGATCTTGCTAACTTTTTGCCTAGGCTGGCCTCAAACCACAATCCACTTGAGTAGCTATGATTACAACTGTGAGCCACCATGTCCAGCCCAATAACAGACTTGACCTGTGGTAGATGAGGGCCATTATGATTTGACTGATTGAAGATACAGAGTTGTCAAAAGGGAATCCTGAGCCCATACTTCTCTTCAGACTTGCAGTTTCCCCACAGAGTAATATGCTATAAAATACCACAAGTTGTGGGAAGCTATGACAAGCTGAGTGAGGTCAGTGGGGCAAGGGTCACACCCTCTAGGTAAGTGCCAGGGAGGGAATGTACGCCACCCATGCCTGGCTAGGAAGACAGGTGAGTCAGTGCAGGTGAGAGCTTATTCAGCTGTAGAGGTCCATGTGCTGTGCCAGTGTAGCATATGACATACATTTACATGATCAGTGGTGAGTGTCAGCTAGT